GGCAATAATTCTTCTCTAAAGTCTCGCTCTGAAAAATTATTATACAAAGATGCATCGAAGCGCATTATCGGGCATCATTAATGAGAATTGCTTCAGAAAGAAAACTAACGCTGCCAATATAGCCATCTACAGCACCTACATTCGCGACAAGGACTTTTATTAAAATCCCATTCGCACAGTTCCGCGACCCCGGTACCTCTTGTCAGAAGAGACAAGGCCAATTATCGTTAAAAGCGGTTATTATCGAACGACGTTAGAAAATCCCCGAGATGAGAGTGCGAGGGGTGCGGGGTTTCATCCCCACCCGTGGACGATGTTATATACATACGTCGCGGGTGTAAAGACGCGCCCTTTGCGTCCTCGGTCAGAAGCAACCCGGTGAGAAGCGATGGCTCGGACTTCATTTCTCATTCGCTGTCGCAGCATCCGGCGGTACATACCCGAAGCTCCCGCATTCCCGCATACTACTCTGTGCACGCGCGCGCCCATCCGCGCGCGTACATATGCATATGTAAACACGAATAACACATATACACGTACGTAACGCGATGACAAATACGCGCGCGCGCGCGCGCGCAAGCACGGGGTAGTCCTCCCTTTTGCACCACGTCGTGAAAGCTCGGCACGGCTTCGGATGTGCTCGTCTCGCCAGGGTCGAGAGGAGGAGAGAGAGAGTAGGAGTATCACGAGGTGCAAAGAGTACGAACCTCGAGGAGCGAGACGCAAAACGGGTCACTCTCGCCTCCTTTCAGGATTCGGCTAGCTAGGATACCTACATCTGCCAAAGTTCACGGGAGGGCAATGCCTCGCCCACTTTTACGGGAGCATCACCAGAACTATGTCTTAACCCTTTAAGCATCCCACCTCTTTACTCTTGGATTTTTGTTTTTCGAATCAATTTTCCAGCATCTTTAAATACTTAAAAGCATAAATGAAAAAAGTCAGTAAATTCTTGTTAGTGAGAATGAAAGATCAGAAAAAAAGTAAAAATTCCGAAAGTTCTTAAAAAGTTGGGAGTTTTTTTTTTCAGAAAAAATATGCTTTTTTCTAATACTACTCACAAAACGAGCGTACACAAAAATTTAGGAATACTGAAATTTTGAGAAATTCTGTCATTCTAAACGTTCTTATTAAATATTTAATAATTTTTCTTGCTTGATTATTTTATTTTCTTGTAAAGGAAACTTAAAATAATAGGCTGTTTTTCTGATTTATAACTCAGAATTTCCGAATTTCTCAGAAATTCTGAACCAACGCTCCGAGAAAACTCGGAGAAAGGTTATTTGTTTGAGAAAATCGATTAATGAAAAGTATGAGCTTCGAGGGAGAGTTAACAGGCTGCCTCGGCAGCCAATGTTCCGTTGTCGTTTCGCGTTGCGGCGCGGCGTCGCGCGTCGCGCGTAGTTTCGGTGTAATTCGATGTGACTTCGTCAGCCGTCTTGAATTCTCTTCAACGTGTATCGGCCGGAGCGTTGCCTGGATGCCACGGATGGTTCCAACGTCGAACGACGTAACGATGCGACGGATCGACGCGACATTGCAGATCTCTCCCGACTCCCATTAGGAATAATCCGCTCATAATCACGCAAGCGCTCTCTCTCTCTCTCTCTCTCTCTCTCTCTCTCTCTCTCTCTCTCCAGGGATCAGGGTACTTACAACGTTGGCTCGGCACTCATTAAATAGTTGTCTTTATGTACAGGATAATGTTCTTAATAGGTATGACAAGTAATAAGCCATAAGCATTCATATTAGAATGAATAAAATAGAGTGGAAGAAAACGACTTATTATTCGCCATCAAAATTAAACAAAATCGAGAGACGTTGAATTATAAAATATTATGCGATAAATAAAAGACTAGAAAAATAATAAAATAATAAAGAAAAACGAAACGATTCTGATATGTCATTTCTATAAAGACATAATTTTGTAAATTTGTATTTGACAGTAGTATATTTGCAAAAATTAAGAATTTAATATTCAAAGATTCGGTAAACGTCAACAAAAAGATTCCTAAAAATTCTCGATTCATTTTAACCAGTTATTTTAACCAATTGTGTGTGCTTCAATTATGTAAAAAGAAGATTAAAATATCATATAGCCTATAATCAACAGACACAAAATTTGGATTCGTTTAAAATTTCATTTGTTTGAATTCCGGATTCCATACGTCATCCTTGACATGTAGATAATCTCTCCTCTCTCTCTATCTCTCTTTTTCTCTCTCACTCTCTCTCCTCTCATTGCTTTCTCTTTCCGCTCTCTCTTTCCTACCTCTTCTCTATCCAAAAACAAGCTTAATCTATCACATCACGCACACGCGTCGCGCGGGTTTTACGTGTTTAGGCGCCTTCATCCGCTTTTGAAATAGAAAATGTATTGATTCTGTTAGTTTTACCTCTCAGTTCAACATAATTTTGTATTGCTTATCTTTAGTTGGTATTTAGTAAGAATAATTTGAAAATTTTTGAAATAAAAAATGATTTTTTTATTCAAAATACCCTTATATATCTAAAGGTTTTATATAGTTTTATTACCTTTAAATTATCATACAACTAACTTATTTATTTATGCAATTATTTAACAAAGATTTTTCATTAAAGTCTCTATAAAAATATTAAAAATATCCACTCACCATACATAGATATTTATACAAATTTTATTGTTTTTAAATTAGATTTATATGCAAACGGTACAATATTTCTAATTATATTTTTTATCTATTTGTGTGATATTAAATTATTAATTTGTAAATCAATTTCTTTTTATATATTACAAGTTTAATTGTTTTGTCAAATTAATATAATTTCTTAAATGAATTTTTATATGACGGATACAACCTGCAAAATATTCATATATATCATATTATATTTCTACCTCTTTCGTCGCGTATATTTCATCGCAATATCTTTTCTTTTGGAGTTACTCGTAGATAAGGTAAGTATCGGAAATCCTTATATATACAGAACAACTTCATAATTTATGAATAACGAGAAAATTGCTTTCTCGGAAAAGCTATCCGAATTGTAGCAAACCGCGACGATCCGTCTTAGTCTCGTTTGCGTAAGGAGGCTGCATCATTTTCCGGAAAGAGCTTTTACTGTCGCCTGTACTTAAATGCCGACATCGATATAGCGGTATCACCGAACGTGCCCACGTTCCATTAGGCTTTACAACCTTTGAGCCGTAAAACCGAGGGAAATGTTCCCGTCCTGTCGGTTGAGAAAAAGGCGACAGCTGATCGGTAAAGTGCCGGGTGCGTGTCGCCATACTCCCTCTCCCTCGAAATGCATCGCACGTCTTGTAGAG